AAATTAAATAAAAATATATTAAAATAAATTAAATAATTCAATATAAATTTTCTTTAAAATAATAAATTCCTTGTAGGATTTATGCTCTGTACCCCTACCCCACGTTTAACAAACAACACGGCGCGAAGCAGCAGAATCAACGATATTACTTTTTGGCTCAAACTTCTACTCTATAACCTCTTCCGACCTTCCCCTTCCGCTCCTCCTCCTCCTCCCCCGTTCAGCTCGGTACCCAATTCTCTTCTTTCCTCCCATTTCCTCCTCCGAATAAGCCATCTTCAGCTCCTCGCCGGGTTCATTGTCGGCGTCTATCTACGATTACGATGAAGGAGTGCGGCGACCACGGATACTGCAGGCGCCGCCGCATAATCCGGCGAACCGTCTTCTGCATTATCTTATTTATAATCCTCGTTCTCCTCGCAATCCTAATCGTCTGGCTCGTCCTCCGTCCCACCAAACCCCAATTCTACCTACAAGACGCTCGGGTTCTCGGCTTCAACCTCTCTGCCCCAAATCTCCTCTCCTCCACCAACCATCCAAATCACATCTCTCCGAACCCTAACGAACTGCGTCGGCATCTCTACGCCCCGTCTCGAGTCTAACGCCTACAGGAACCAGCAGATTCTCCCGGCCTGACGCATGCCCAGTCTCCTACCAGGGCATAAGGACTGCGACGTCTGGTCCCCTTACTCTCGGCTCCTTCGTCCCATCGCCCCTATCTCTGCACCTCCCTCCACCCCCAGCATGACGAGAATACGGATTCCTCTTCCTCTACGTCAAGATCGCGGCCGCACTCCGGTGGCAGGTAGGCTAGCTGGACCTCTGATCGCTACCATATCTTTCGGGTCGATTGTCCCGTCTTTTCTCACCTTCGCAATCATGCCAGTGGAGTAACCGGTTATCCGGTTCCAGCAATGGTCGACTGCAGCGTCGACGTGGTGAGCATCCATTCCAATTTCCCGATCTCGCCGCCGGCGGTGCTCGTCGTCTCTTTGGATCTCTGTTTTGGTTTCATTGATTTCGTGGTTTTATGGGCCGTGGTTTGGCTATAGGGAATAATAAGGCGGCAGTGACTGATGTGAAAGTGTAATGATTAATTACTGTCATTAAGAAGAAAAATTAATTAATAATTTGTGGTTAAGAGGTCACTTTCGATCGTTTACGGATGTGTGGTGGGAGTGAGTGAGCTTTGGATGGCTTCCGCTTGCCTTGCTTTCTGGTTTACGTCTCTTTCGCCTCAGCTGGAAGCAGGTGGCGGAGGATTAGCTCTTAATTAAGAACTTCATTATTTGCTTATAATAATTTTTAATTTTTTCAGGAATTTATATTTTTCAATATTTTGTGTAAAATTTCTTTATCAAAAGAGGGTACCTATCGAATAATTTCAAAAGTGATTAAAAAAAAAAAAAAACAAAGGATAGAGAGACATTTGGAATAAAGAAATTTATCCATGAAAAGGGCCTCAAAGTTGAGTATTCTAAATGAAAAGTTGGGTAGTCGATAGAAGTGTCGGCCCAAAGCCTATTTAGATTACTATGAGCTTAATAATTGAAAGTTGTTTATTATACGGGTCAAAATGCTTGATATTAAATCGGTTTGACTCAAACATGTCTAGCATGAACTCGAAACATTTAACCCGTTTATTAAATCGATCATGTAACTTTTTTAATTCACATAACTTATATAATCCAACTCGTTTAACCGAAATCCCGAGGAATTTGAGAGTTCATTTCAAGACAATTTTTTTGTTCAAAATGAGTAGATTTAAAATTTTTAATTAAAATGAATTTGATCATTTATGCATCTAACCTAGCTTTGATTTTCTTTTGATTCACTCTCCATTAAGTCATTTTAGAGCAAGTAATTAGCCAAAATAAAGTGATTAAAAAATTTATGATCTCATAGATTTCAGCTTTGTTTGAGATGACTTTCTTACTGCTTCTAAAAACAGCTTTATAGTATAAAAATTAAAATTTTTGTACTAGAAAGTTAATCTAAGAAGCAGAAAGAAAGTCATCCCAAACAAAACCTTAATTGCCATAATGTCATGATTGAGCAAAATTCAAAAGCAGATGACCTAGGTCAACTCTTTGATGCTCACTCCTTAAAAAACTAATCAATCCAATTACAAAAACTTTAAAAAAGCTATAATAAATATAATGTGAATCTACTAAAGATTGCACTTTTAACTAAAAAAAGCCTCAGATTCCCATAGAATGCTATGGTTCATTCCCTTAACATGAAAAATATTCCACCTTTAAAAAATTTTGCATAATTCTCTTCTCCTTTTTTCCATTTTTTGAATCTTTGATCAAAATCACCATTCTTATAGCCACTAATGTCTCCTTTTCATTTTCTTAAGCTTTTACTCTGCTTCACCATTCTTAGAGCCAATCATTCCATTGTGCCTATTTCTAACTTAAGAAAGATCAATGAAAAGTTAAGTAATCTTCTATCTTGCCTATTATTTATCATACAAAATAAATGACATATTCTTCTAATTGTTAAATGCTTATAAATAAATAATATTTTTAATTAATAATATTAAAAAAAAAATAGATCTAGCTCGGTTTGACAAGTCAATTAAAAATAAATCAGTTCTGGCTTGAATCTAAGTTAGTTTAATCCTAAACCCTAAAAAACCAAAACAAAAACAAATTATGATTTTTTTTTTAAGATTAGCTTTGCTCAAACTGACCTCAAATTTTGAATAAATTGGTAATACTAATAAAAGAATTTATTTGTTTAGCTTATATCATATTATTATATTTATTTTAAAATAAATTTTATTATTTTTAAATGTACTTTGATATATCATAATATTCTGACATTTTTGCTATTAACGATGGATGAGAACAAACCATGATTAAAAATGTTCTCTATTGTTAGCAAACCAAAATTGAAAATGAAAACAATTAGATTGAGCTTAGTATAATATAAATTACTCATGTCTTGCAATCTCTCTCTCTCTCCATCCTAGGGTGGAAGTAAGTCAAGCACACTGGTGACCTGGCTCGAGCTCGAGCTCGACTCAATACATGACTCTTGAGCCAAGCTTCTTACAAGATAGCTCTCTTACCTCGTGAGCCTTCAATTTGTTAGTTGCGAAAGTCTAATCGAATGTTCCAATTTACACATCATAATCAAAAGAATTGTTTCATCTTGTCAACCACACTCCCTATGTTGTTGCTAATGATTGAACAAATACTACTTGACCGTATTCATCGATCGGGCTGCAAACAGTTTTTCAAGTTCCCACTGCCATTATTTTTTAGCTTAAGAAAGAAACACTTCTTCCAGCACTAAAAACAGCACCAAACAAAACATTAGCTTACAATGCATTTATACTCTCCATAGAAAACAATACAAAACATAACAAATCTTATTCAAACCCACATTTAGGCTTTGTTTGGAAAGATTTTAGTATTACTTTCTAAAATGATTTTTAGATTAAAAATTTTAAATATTGGATTAGAATGATATTTTAAAAAGTAGTAAAAAAGCTGTCTCAAACAAAATCTTAGGCTTCATTTGAAACAACTTTCTTATTACTTCTTAAAAAAAATTTGTAGTAAAAAATTATTTTAGTTTTAAAAACTTTTTATTAAAAACTTTTTTAAAATGACGTCCAAATGAAGTCTTACGCTTTATTTGAGACAACTTTACTCTTACTTCTTAAAGCAGCTTTCTATACTGAAAGCCGCTGCTTTAAGAAGCGGTAAGAAAATCTCCCAAATAATTCCTTGGTCTTAGGCCAATTTTTTCCAAACTTTGCGTTCTAGAAAATCACCTACAGCTTTGTTTAGTTGTAGCTTATTAGGCGTGTCAATTCGGGTCAAAGGGTCGGGTTCGGGTCGAACCCGGAACTGTTCGTGTCAAACCGAACCCGACCGTTTTTAAAAACGGGTCAGGTTTCCGGACCTGAACCCGACCCGATTCGGGTCCGGACCTAAACCCGACCCGATTCGGGTCCGGGTCAACCCGACCCGACACGAATGACCCGAAATTGACCCAAAATTGCAAGTTTTCGGGTCAAAAATCGGGTCAATCTTCATTTTTCGGGTCAAAATCGGGTCAAAAACGGGACAAACTCGAATTTTCGGGTCAAATATGAGTTTTCGTGTCACTTTCAGGTCAATTTCGTGTTTACGTGTCAACCCGAACCCGACCCGATTTTTAAAACAGGTTGATTTCTTCAACCCGAACCCGAATTTTTTCGGGTCGGGTTCTGGTCGTGTTTCGTGTCGTGTCAAAAATTGACACCCCTATAGCTTATTGTTTTTCAAAAACTTTTATAATAGAAAGTACCTTTTCTATAACCACATTTGTTGGTAATTATAATAAAATGATAAAAAAATAATAAAAAATGAAATCATTTTTTAAAATTTTTACAACTTTATTATTAAAATAATAAATGAATTTTATATCAATATATTTTAAAAGAGTTGACTTGCAAGCTAACGAGTCTACAAAGATTTCACTCAAGCTTGACTCATTAGATCATCGAGCTCAACTCATGAGCCATTTATCAAACCTAGCTCAAACCGGCTCACAAATGGGCTTGACTCACTCACACCTCTAGTGAGAGCACTCTTCACAGAAACCCATAAAAAATGCCTAGGTTACAAGCTAATCACTTGATACTTGGCCTTTGCAAACCTAACATTCCCTACTTAATAGCAAAAATTACTGGCTGAAAACCCAACCATCAAGGTCTAGGTTTTACAAATCCAAGCTCGCACTCATGAACTCCTTGCTACTATCGATTGAAGTTGTTGTGCATGATGGAGAAGAAGAGAAAAAGGAGGTCTAGAAAGACAATATTTTGCGGATTCAGAAAGTTCTAGCCCTTATTTAGTCTGCATTTGAAATGACTTTTTTATCATTTCTTAAAGCAGCTTGTTAGTACAAAAAAACCGTCCCAAACGAAGCCTTAGTTACAGGATACAGGATTTAGAAGAAGAAAATGAAATATCAATAACTATAATTATCAGAATAGATGGAGATAATGACTAGCGTTTTGCCTGGAAGCCCTACAACCCTACCTCAATACACCCTTTTGTGCCCTATAACAGCACAACTCAGTGCCAAGATGAGCATTTATGGATAGTTTTGGGCACTAAGAAAAAATCAGCTGTATTCAATATATTCAAAATATAAATTTTGACTGAATATTATCTTCTTGGAGCATATTATCAGTGGTGAAAGAATTTCAGTAGACTCACAAAAAATGAAAGCAATTGTGGAATGACCAACATGAAACAGTGTTACAGAGGTTCGTAGCTTCATGGTATTGATGGAACCTACATAAGGTTTGTTAAAGGATTCTCACAAATTGCTATGCCATTGTGCAAGCTGATGAGGAAGCATGTTAAATTTGAATGTATTGCAGAACATGAGAAGAGCTTTTCGACTTGGGGTTCTAAATATAAAAGCCTAATATATTTGACATTTTTCATATATGAGAGAAAATATGGAATGATTTTATTGAAAACTATTCATGCTTACATTTGACAAAACTTTTGGTATTATAAACATTGAGCATAAATAAATAGACGTTGATGTTCATTGTGAATGATTTTTAGATCATGCATCCTAGTCTTAGCAATATATGAGTAACATCTATAGATGGAGGCTTGTTTTGAATCTTTCTCGACAACAACAACAACATCATCAAGCCTTTGTCCCACTACATGGGGTTCATGTCATGATTATTCGATAAGTTTTACACTGGCCGTCAACTACCTAACATAACCCTCCACTTTTCTCATTAAAGACTTCGGACCTGATAATGGCAAAAATCTTTCTCGACGAATGAGGAAATTAGGGTGCAATCCACTACAATCATTTCTTATGTGGATTAATGGAAGCAAAATCATCATCCATTAAAATATGATCATTACCATTAACTTTTTTGTAGAGGTCATCCATTGGATAGTCTTTATGCTTGATTGAGTTGAAAGTAAGGATAGGATCATCAACAATATATTTGATTTTTTTCAAAGAATGCATTGGACTCTTTCGGCAGATCTAGTAAGCTTTAACAGGCGGAGTTGACATAATGTGAGATATATTGATCTATATTAAGTTATCGTTAAGTTCAAAGCCACTTGAGGATGGCTGGATGGCATTCGGGTCATGAGGATCGTTGATCGTGAGGAATCATGTGGATTGCTCGTGGAAGGGTTACAATGATCTATTCGTGTCGTGGTGGATGGTTTCAAAGTGAAAGTTTATGCGTAGGTGCATGGCGTAGTAGTCAGGGTTGCTTAATTTAGGAACGAGTCTCTATCTAGTCATTCGATGTGCTAGTTAATGGTTGTGGTGGTGGGGAGTGTGAGGGCCATCTTTTATTATGAATGTGTTGGAGATGTGCAAGTGTAGAGTTGTGAATGTCCAACTTATTCAAAATTTCTTTTAACAAGATCTAATGAAATAAAGCAAAATACTGGTCTCTACCCTGACAATCTTCAAAGTTGTTTCATTGTGAGTGCCATATTTTGAGACTAATGAAATAAAGCAAGTGACAGGACAATGCCATATTATGAGACTAATTAGAGAAAATAACTACAAAAAAAGGAGGTACATTATTTGAAGCGTGCAAAGGTAAATGCAATAAAATTTATGCAACTAATCATAAACACATTTAAATAGCATGTTGGTGTTGAGCAGGAGTTTATATAATCATCCAAAATATGCAGATAATGTGATCGATGAATACTTATCCTGGTATAATCAATCATAATTTGAAAAGAAATTAAAGTGTAATAATAAACAGTTAGCATGGAAAAAAGATGAAAGGAAAGCGATGCAACCTTAATTCAATTTAGTGTAGTAACAATTACATGTTTTGGCAGGTTAAAGTAGAGGAATGCATCGGGCTTGTTGTGTCATATAAAAGTTCCTCTCAAACTTAAGAGAAAATTCTATAAGATGGTAGTGAAACATGCAATGCTTAATGCTTTATGACATAGATTGTTGACCCATAAAAGAAAAGCATTATATTAAGTGTTGCAAAGTGAGGGTGCTTAGGTGGATGAGTGGATTTATTCTTAGAGATAACATATTAAATGAGCATATGCGCAATGATGTTGGCATAGCTCTAGTGGCTAATAAGATTATATAGAGTCGCCTTAGCTAGTTCGTTCACAAAAACAACAGCTTTACGATGACCCAGTTACGAGAGTAGATGTATTAGATTTATCTTATGTTAAAAAAGATAGAGATATACCTAAAAAAACTTGGTTAGAAAATATTAGAAATGACATTTCTTTATTAGATTTAAATGACTCTTAATATGATACAATGAAGAAAAAAGATTCATGTAGCCGACCCCACGTAGTAGGATAAAGGCTTGATGATGATGATGTTGTTGTAGTAATTACATGTTTTGGTGGTTAGCATCGTGGATATCTACTAGTTTCAAATTGAGCTGTTGGAGTCCTTGGAGCCTAAAAATAATCCTTTATAAGGATTATTCTATTAATATCTTCAGTTGCCATGTAAATGCAAATAAAAACGATTTACAAAACTCCACAGAAATGATCGTATTTACCTTAAGGATGAAAATTTGCGACCTTGAAGTAAAGCACTTGAGTATCCTCATCTCTGCAACACTTAGTTTTAAATGGCCAACTTGCAACTTTAATAAAAGATAAGAGGAAAATCACAGCCATAGCGAATGAGTACATAGGTAATGTTAGCTTTCACCATCATGATCATCATTGCATCTACAAAACTGATGAAAAAATTTACCTTAGACAAAATTCATCAATATCCACAGCTAGTACATTCTATGATCCCAATGGCTCTCTGAAGCAAAAAAATAATAATAAAAATTTGAATCCAAAATTGAAATACTAAAGGAAATGAATCCAAAATCGTCTTTGTCCGCCAGTTTGATTAAGGAGAAATTGAGCGGAAAAAAATTTTTTATATTTTGATTGGCTTGAAGAAAAAACCAAGAAATTGAATAATGAACACACCCTAATATTTATAAACTTCAATTTTAAGAAAATATGTGTATGTTATAATTTTTTTTATGGGCTTCAACTACACCAAACAACCGAGATGTAAATATTAGGTAACAATATTTATTTTATGCTTAATTCACCCAAACAAAGCAAAGAAAAAAGGCATTCGCAACAGGAGAGAACAAGTAGAAGGGAACAAGAATACGAACGATCAAATAATAGTGGAGTCCATCAAATAAGACGAGCAGAAAATCACTGCCTACAACATTGCACATTTGTGTGGCACAAAGAGCCCAAAAAAATACATTCCTAAAAGGAAGAAAGAATGAGGAACCAATAAGAAGACAAGGGATCACATGATATTGAGAGTCATAAAACAGGACAAGTGTAGCAGTTGTGAATTCTCTTGGTAATGACTTCTGTGGTTGCCTGACAAGCTTCAGACCATCCAAACATGCTACAACATTACCATAGGAAACTTAGATATATTCCATTATGAATCATTCTTACTCGAAAGAGACATCAACAGCACACTACTGATTAATGTGTATATCATTAATCTTGATAACTGTAAAATGATTTAGCCCTCCCAACTGTACTTCGTGATAGAGATAAAACAAAGGATATGATTTCCTTCTAAAAATTATAAATTTTTTTTACCATAACTAATACAACATAGAGCAAGTACAGAACAAACTTCAATCCTGATCGTTTTTAAGGGCATTACCACAGTGAAAGAATTATTAAATACTTTGCAGAAATTCCTTTAAAAGACCCACACGAGACTCCAAATTTGATATCAATCCATAGGCAACCCTTTTCCAGCCTAAAATTTGAGTAATTTAAGCTGCTAACACAGTGATTCCCACTTCATCACCAACTTTGCAGCCGCAACACAACAGAGTTTACTACATGCAGGACCAGAGAGTTTACTTTATGAATGACTGGGGAATTTAATCATTGGAGTGCGACTGGCAATAATATAAGAGGGGTTCATGGATCACACCTCAACAGGTTAAGATAAACCCAAGTTAAACTACAATGATAAAAAGAAATTCTCAACATTTTTTAGCTTAAATGATGTAAGAATCAATCGATATTGGGCTCACTACGGTCCTTCCAACCCCCTGTCGCTTAACAACAGTCTTTCCGATCTCCATCGCTCGCCAACTACGGTCCTTCCGACCACTGTCACCTGAGTATAATCTTTGAGTATAATCTTTCCGCCCTGAGTCGCCTGCCTCCTATGATCTTGCTGACCAAACAAACCATTTTTTTTCTAGTACACAACTTTTGTACTATTTTTCTTTTATTATGATACGAATCTGCTGCAATATAGGGCCAGATCTCAGTGGATCGTGACAGCAAAGGCCACTCTGTCGACCAAACAAATATGTCAATACTAATTCTTCCAATTCCCACCATGATGTAATGCACTCTACATGATGTATATTTGCTACATCAAGCCAAGGCCTCCCCCCGGGAAGAGCCTCATTTGTAATTAACTACAAACACTAGTGAATTCATTCAAACTAGGCAGAGCCCCATAGTTTTCCCCCTTTTAGGGCTTTTCACGTAAAAACTTAGATGTCTCTTATACAGACTACACATTCTTTTATCTGATTGTGTGTTGAATCTTTATATAAAGCTAAGACATTAAACTTTATATTTCTCCATCACCACGAATATTCCAAGGCGGAACAATAGTAAATAAATAAATCATTTAACATACAAGTTATTAAATATGGTTTGATCCCATTTGATTAACACAATTAGCAACTAAACAACCCTTAAGCCATAAAACATCAACACGTTAATAAACTAAACAACTTGCCAATTGAGGTCGTCAATATGCCTCGCCATCAACAAAACACAGACAAGTATTAAGGTTTGACTACCAAAAGCAGCAGACACTGCCTGCTTTCGAAGGACTTTGCAAAAATCCTTCACAAGGAGGATTTGAGTAATTTAAGCAGCTAACAGACTGATTCCCACTTCATCCTCAGGTTCTACCGGCAACAATAAAAGAGGGGTTGATGGATCACATCATCATGTTCAGATAAACCCAAGTTCAACTACAACGATAAAGAGAAATTCTCAACATTAATTAGCTTAAATAATGTAAGAATCAATCACACTAGATTCAACTAGTTGAGCGGCTGGATCTGACATTAAGCATACCAGATTTATAGGTCATTTGGTCACCCAATTTATATTATGAGGATTTCAAATATACTTCAACCCCTAGAATTGGACCCATTTTGGCTTGGATTACTAATTTTGATGTCATAGGATTCATTAGAGATATTCAGTTCAACTATATGTTTGATGAAATCAGAGTTTGATGGTCCCGAATTTAATATCAGAAGATTCCAATATAAATATGCCTCAGGATTCGTGCCAAATCAAGGCAATTTTTGGTGATGAATCACATATTATTCAAAATCATATCCTATACAACCTTCAAAATTCCAATATTGCCATGAAAGTGATAGGAAACACTCGTAGATCTCAAGTATTTTCTATCAATCCTCATAAAACAGCGAGAATTCTCCACAAAAATCCACACAAAACCACAAAAACAGTAGATAATTTGTATTATTTGATAAAAGGGAAACGGAAAATACCAAGATACAATTGATCCTCTATTTGAGAGGAGGATCTATTTTTCCCAAATTTCTAGACGCCACTAGAGCCCAAAACTTTTCTTGTAAACTCAAAAACAAATGGACTAACCAACTTTAAGTTGGGACAAAGAAGAGCCTGACAAAAAGAAAACCAAATTGGGATCTAAAACATAGGACTCAGAATGACAAAAAGAAAACTCCAGGCATCATAATATATCATTATAACAGCTACACCCCTGGTTGCAGAATCGACCATCCAGGGGAAGACCTAGTTGCCGAAATGACCATCCAAGGGGAGAAAGAAAACTCCAGGAAATGCTATGTTATTTATTAGTGTTGATGAGGTATGAAATAAAGTCGCTGCTACATCATAAACATTGCCAAGCTGCTCTGTGTGAAGTACCGATCAATTTTGGGTCGGTCCATTCTGGGACAACCAAATTCTACTGCAGGCCTAAAAAAGTTCAACCCAGAAGAATCCACCCTCTTGGAGAGCGGCCCAGGGGGAATAATTCAAGTAGAGCAGGGCGGCTAGGAGGGAATTTTGAATGGTAGAGGTCATTTTGGGATTTGCCATGCTTTTCGTTGCCTTAAGTAGATTCTTTGCCCTAGGGTTTGTTTTCATGTGTTGATGTGATTGAAATTAGACTTTGCTTAAATTGAGAGGGCTCTTGCCGAAGGCTAGGAATTTGGGAGAGTCATATATTCCTCTCCAATTAAAGATGCAACTATATCTTGTGTTTTTCTTCTTAGTTCTTTCAATAAAAAAATATTTTTTGGTGTTCTTCCAAATTTTTTTGAGCAAAATTTTTGAGCTGTTCCATGATTTTGCTGAAATTTGCATCCATTTTCTAACACTCTGCAAGTAACTTACCATTGTTATGAAACCATGGAGAAGCTTTGTGCACTTAGATCGTTTAATTTACATACTTGTCGCAAAAATTAAAAAAGTGGCAACCAGCTCAGCTCAAACAATAGGCTGGACAAAAATATATCTAAGCTAATTCAACCTCTAAAAAGAGCTTCAACTAAAGCATTCGGTAACATGGGTAAAAAAAAAGCCTCTTGTATTGCCCAAGCAACCAGAAATATGTGCCCATCAACAAACTTAGAGACAAAATGTACACACATCTTAAAGACTATCATTCCCTTTCCAATTTTCCACAAAAATGTGTTCCAAAAAATTAAGTGCAATGGCTGACAAAAGCCCGTAGCCCCCACTTAGCCAACTATATGCTTTAGTTCATCCACAACAATACAATTAAAACCAGAAAAATTTAGGCCAGATTAGTCATCCATGCACAACAACAATAAGTTCGGACATTTTATTCACCAAATCTGCAACACAAAACAAAAGGAAAATCCACAAAAAAAAAAAAAAAA